CCCTGCACAAAGGCAGGATTAAAGGGAATTGCAGAAAAAAATTGTCTCTGCCTTATTCTACAGATTAGATCTTCCACAGGGCAAAAGCGAACCCCTTTTCTAATTACCACAAATCATTCCTGGTTAGCAAAGAGAATTTGCCTCAGAAAAAATTAGCATTTCTCCTCTTTGAGCCCACATTGCACCTTTCTCTATAGAACTGAAACCAGGAAATGCTGGTGCTGAACTGGTTGTGGCTCTTACTTTAAGACAAGGTCATAAAGTTCTGGCATCGTCTTCTTTAAAACGAAGCTCTGGGTCTTGAAGTCACTTTGTTTGTCAGCAAGGTAGAGAGGGTTAAACCACTCCATCAGGGAGTGATACAGCCCATAACGGAGGTTGCTGGAGGACAAAACACAGAGGGAAGAGTCAGGCTTCAGTGGGGATTAAGAAGCAGTGGAAATTAAATTACTGGCGTTATTATTTTTCATTATTTGCAAGCACTCCATTTTTCACACTGAACTTGGGCTTTTCTGCTGCTTGTCAAGCACAGCCAGGAGGGTTCTCTGCTCTGAAAGAAGAGTTCTCTGGCAGGGTTGTACCTCTCCCTGAGGGCTTCTCCCAGCTCTCCCACCAGGTCTCGGTGGGGCCCTGTATCCACAGAATTCCAGTTCCAGGACACTGGTGACCCCCAGTTGGTGAAGCCCTCATGGTGCTTGGTGGTCAGGACCACGTATCTGAGAAGAGAAAATAATTTGGTTGGGATGGCAAAAGAAACAATGGAGATATTTCCCAGCCTCACTGCAAACCCAGTCACTAAAACAGCAAGGCTCTAAATAACCACTCTGTGAGGAGCCCTCTGTCACTGTCCTTTGAATTTAGAAACAAATCCAGGAATAGGAGAGGCTTTTAGTGGATTTTAATGCTGGGAAAGAATGAACAGTCAATACTTAGGAAGGAACAAGACCTGCTGTCTGCTCAGCACCCTGGGCATGACCCCTCAGGGATCTCCAACACTGTCCAGAGACCCCCAATCCCTCAGAGATCCCCGGACTTGCCCTTTCCATCCCCTCAGAGACCCCTGCATCCTCTTGGGAATAGCCCCATTTGCTTTCCAACCTTTTCCATCCCCTCAGGGACCCCCAGACCCACCCCTCATTCCCTCTGGGAATCCCAGACGTGCTCTTCTATCTACTCAGTGACCCTCACTGCCTCAGAGATTCCCAGACATGGCTCCTCTATACCCTCAGGGACTCCCAGACCCACCACCTTAAGGACCCTGAGGGATCAGGGACCCTGGGCCATGACACTCATCCCCTCAGGGACCTTCCATCCCCTCAGGGACCCCCATCCCCTCAGGGACCCCTCATCCTTTCAGGGACCTCCCATCTGTTCAGGGACCCCTCATCCCCTCAGGGACCCCCATCCCCTCAGGGACCCACATTCCCTCAGGGACCCACATTCCCTCAGGGACCCCAACTCGGGCCATCCCCGGCTCTGACCTGGCCCCAGCCCGCTGGAAGAGCTGTGCCCACTGCCGGGGTTGGAAGTCAAAGGTGGTGAAACGGGACGCGAACTCCGCGTAGGTGGTGCCGGGCGGGAAGCGGCGGCGCACGAAGCGCTCGTAGGCGGCATCGTGCTGGCCCTGCCAGTGCCACCAGAACCACTCGGAGCCCCAGGCCGGCACGGAGAACACCCCCCAGTGTACGAACACCCCCACCTTGGCCCGGTCGAACCAGGCCGGCAGCGGCCGCGCGTCCAGGCTGGCCCAGTCCGGCCGGTAGCGGGGCGCGGCCAGGCCCGGGCCCAGCGCGGCCGCCACACACAGCAGCGCCCGCGCCGCCATGGCCCGTGACGTCACCGCCGCCGCCGCTCCCCGCGGGCCGCGGGTTCGAGGCTGCGGAGCGACCCCTGCCCGTGAGCACGGCGGGGAGTGGGGAATGGCCAGGGAGGGGATGGGGATCATCGGGGATAGCCCCAAAAATAAGGGAATGGCCAGGGAGGGGATGGGGATCATCGGGATAACCCCAGGAATGGGGGAATGGCCCGGGAGGGGATGGGGATCATCGGGATAACCCCAGGAATGGCCAGGGAGGGGATGGGGATCAGCGGGATAACCCCAGGAATGGGGGAATGGCCAGGGAGGGGATGGGGATCAGCAGGATAACCCCAAAAATAGGGGAATGGCCAGGGAGGGGATGGGGATCAGCGGGATAACACCAAAAATAAGGGAATGGCCAGGGAGGGGATGGGGGACCATTGGGGATAACCCAACCCCAGCAATGCCACCCTGTGCATCCCTGTGTGCTGTCCAAACCCTCCTGCAGCTCTGACAGCCTTGGGGTGGCTTTGGGGAGAGCCTGGGCAGTGCCCAGCACCCTCTGGGAGAAAAACCTTTCCCTAAATCCAACCTAAACCCCCCTGGGCACAGCTCCAGCCATTCCCTTAGATCCTGTCCATGGTCACAGAGATTGGAGCTGCCCCTTCAATGCCCTGCAGACTTTGTTAAGTCTCCCCTCAGTCTCCTCCTGACCCTCGTGTGCAGCCTAGATAGGCCTGGCAGGGCTCCCAAAACCTCCCGGTGCTGGGTGCATCCTCTGGGACAAAGGGCAGAGTGCAAGGGCCTCGTGGCCGTGCCCTGGCCAGGCTCATCCGTGTTGGAGGTGTTTTGGGAGCTGGCAGGAGCCAAGCTGCTGCTCCAGGTCACTGGTGAAGGGCCCTGTCACGCTTCATTGTCCATTCAGCTAAAAGTGCTGCTTTTGCGTAATTTGCAAAAAATCATCTCCAATCAAGTTCCTCAGGCTCAAAGTATCTGCCCCAGTTTGGGCTTAAACTTGTCACCTGGGGGACTTTGTACACCAGGAAAGAAAGGGAAGAAGAACCTGGAGAAATGGCTTATATGTTTAATCACACAACATCCAAGGAACATGTGTGTGGTTAGATCAGTTCTCCTGAATTCTGCTGGAAGAAATGTGCTGCCTGCAAGTTCCTGTCTGCCCCAGCTCTGGCCAAATCCTTAAGGCACAGTGAGAACGTTCCTCTGAGGTTGGAAAAGCCCTCCCAGACCATCGAGTCCAAGCTGTGCCCAGTCCCCACTTTGTCACCAGCCCAGAGCACTGAGTGCCACATCCAGGTGACACTTGCAGGGATGGGGACTCCAGACCTCCCTGGGCAGCCCCTTCCAGAGCCTGACCACCTTTTCCATGAAGAAATTCCTGCTGATGTGCAAGCTGAACCTTCCCTGGTGGGACATTATCACAGAATCATGGAATATCCTGAGCTGGAAGGGACATCCCAAGGATCATCCAGTCCAACTCCTGGCCCTGCACAGGACACCCCAACAATCCCAACCTGGGCCTGAAGCAAAGTCTGTGCACTTTATGTCCCAGCGTCAAAGGGTGACATCAACAGGAGCTGTCTCCATATCACAGCTGATCCCTCAACTCCCACCAGAAGTGAAAAGAACATGAAAAGTGATCCAGGCAGTTCCTTCCAGCCTGAGGGCGTGCATTTCCCACCGCTGCCTCCCTACACCGCGCGCGTATCCTCGCAGACGGTCTCTATCACGGACGACTTGTGGGTGCTCTCAGCTTCTGGGCTCTCCTCAGCAGCCTTCAGCTGCCTCCTGAAGTGGGAGAACACCCTCCTCAGCGAGGAGAACAGCTCCTTGCTCCGCAGGGCGTAAATGATGGGGTTCACCATGGAGTTGAGCAGGCAGAGGGTGCTGCAGAAGGCGAACACCTTGCGCAGGTGGTCGCTCAGCCTGGCGAAGACGCTGTAGATCATGAGCACCAGCACGGGCGACCAGCAGAGCATGAGGACAGCCAGCACCATCACCAGGGTCTTGGCCAGCATCACGTCCATCCTCATCCGGGTGTTTTGCTTCCCTACCTGTGCCTGGTGCTTCTCCATGTAGGCCACGTGCTGGCGAGCCCTCCAGAGCACGTGGGCGTAGGCGTAGACGATGCAGCCCAGCAGGACCACGACGAAGCAGATCCAGCCCGCCAGGTAATTGTCATCCACGAAGGGGAACAGCTCGGAGCAGGCGGAATCCAGCGCGCAGCAGTTCCAGCCCAGCAGGGGCAGGCAAGCAATGGTGACACAGGTCACCCAGAGCACCGCCAGGGCTGTCCAGGCTCTTTTCCTGGTCATCAGGAGCTTGTATTCCGAGGGCCGGCTGATGGAGATGTAGCGGTCCAGGGCTGTGAGCAGCAGGCTGCTGAGGGAGGCGGAGAAGGACGTGTTCACCCCTCCCAGCTGCAGCAGGAACACCTCCTTGGAAAAACCAGCCTCGTTGAACACGTGGAAGTTCACGAAGCTGCAGGCAAAGATGATGCTGGCGAGGATGTCAGCCAGGGCCAGGCTGCCTATGAAGAGGTAGGAAGGCTTTTTCCTGGTGCTGGGGGAAGAGAAGATCAGGTAGAGCACCAAGGAGTTCTCAAAAACGCACATTGTCCCAAAGAGGCCACACAGGATGCCAATGCTTATCTTCTGTGCCTGTGTGCTGAGCACCATGAAGCACTCCATGGTGTTCCCGCTGCACTTGGAGGCGTTTGCAGGTATCCTGCAAGTATCCATGGTGTTACCTGGAGCTGGGAGCTCACACAGAGCCTTCTGCTGCCTCCTGCACTTCTTCAGATGCTCTGAAAAAGGTGGAGAGGTCTTAACAAGCAAAAAATTCAACCCAGACACTTCCATCTCTTTAGAGGGAAGCAAGCAAAATGAAATCAGCCTACACAGAGCTGCTTTCAGGTCCCCAGCCCAAATGCTGGAGCCAACTTCCATGCTCTCCCAGCTGAGCTCCAGGCTTTGTCCCACTGGCTGTCTGGCACATTTCCCACAGCCTCAATCTCCCAGGCTGGTTCCTCACCACGAGAGGGAAGCAGCAACGGTGAGAATTGTACAAATCCTGAGGCAGCTCTTATCACTCCTCCAGGATTCACTGCTCAGGGCCAGCAGCACGGGAAGGGACTGCTCATGGGGAGTGCTGTGGGCAGAGACAGAACAGCCTGTCCCACTGAAGCTGCCCTGGGAGATGGTTTGGATGGAGAAGGATGGGAGATATTTCCCTGCCAGGGACTCGATGCAGCTCATCTGGGAACACAAAGTGCACTCTGAAGGATTTACTCCTCACCAAAGCTGTTTGAACATATAAAACAACGTGACCACTTATATTTAAGCTTGCCCATTGGAGCTTTACAAAGCTCACTGCAGATGTGTTTACTCCTCCATCCTCCATGTGCCACAGTCAGAGTGATTAATAGATTTTATTAGAGATTAATTAGAGATTGATATTGGCGTACAAATGGGGACATGCAGGACTGAGACCACCTGAGCCTAAGGACCCCTGTCCTAATAGTAATAATAATCCAGGATTAGGATAATTTCATCAGTACTTTTAGCATTAGCAGAGGTGTGATGGAGGGAAATGCCTGATTTTCCATAGGGCAGATGCTGAGCTGTTCAGTGCACCCTGCAGCAAGAATTGGGTTTTTCTCTACAGCTCAATGCATTTAACCCCCTGCATCTTCATAACTTGTCTTTCAGGTGTTATTTTCTCCCATTCTTTTTGTGGATTGCACTGGTGTTTAAACCAAGTTGTGCTGCCTTGGGTTTCAGGGAACAAGGTTAGAGAGCAGGTGAAAAGGCAGCTCTGGGATACCCCAAACCTGCCTGAATTACAGCAAAAATGCTGTGCCCAAGCTCATGGAACAGGACCCCCCTTCCCAAAAGCTTCCAGGATCCCTCATCCAGGGAATGGGATGAAGAGTTCCCTGTGCTGGAGGAGAGCACTGAGCTGACAGAGTTCCCCCAGAGCAAACAAGTCACGGTCCCTCCCTGCCCTCACTCTCTGGTGAAAGGGAAATGTCCCAAAGCCACAAGCCACGGCCAGGGTGAGTGACAGGCACAGAGCAGGGGTTCCAGCCACCTGTACCCCTCCAGCTGTGCCTCCCCTGCCTGCTGTGTGACATTCAGGTGACAGCAGCCAGCACTGCCCAACAAACCTCTGTCATCCCAGCAGTGACACGTTTTATAGCTGGCTTGGGGACTTCCTTCCCCACTGATTTCCCCTGATACTCATCACCCTTCCTGTGTTTCAGGAGTTGCAAAATGACCCAAGAGGCTGCCCAGAGGATGACAGAGAAGAGCCCCAGCCCCGCATTTGACTCCTGCTGCCTGTCAGGGTGAGGACATCAGTGGCCTCAGGGAGTTCAGTGCAGGTTACAGGCAGAGCAGGGCAATTCTCATTGGGATTTCTTGGCATTCCAGGCTGGAGGATCCTGGATTTTGGGCTGAGGTGTGGCTGAGTGTTGCAGCAAGCTGCCCTTCTCTTACATCAGTCTCTTGCATGGGCTAACAGCACAGGACCAGGATGTTGCCCTCAGATATCAGCGCTCTTGTTTCCTGCAGCCCTTTACAGGAACACCGCGCAGGCAGCAGGAATTATCAGCTGCTGTTATTAAACCTGACAACATCCCTCCCTCTGGAGAGAAATGGATTTAGCAGACAGATGGACTTTTCATATAGCAGGGCTCACCAGGGACCACTAGAGCAGCAACTGCCTCGAGTCTCCAAACTTTTCCAGCCAAACCCCAGCATCCAAACCAAGACATCTCTTTATTAAGCAGTCTCCAGCATCACCTTGGTATCCATTACCTGCAGCTAGCATTCCCAGGACCATCATAAATCCTTAAACCTGCAGCTGTGCAATATCCAACAAACATCCTTAGGAGCCTGGAAACCACTGAACACCAGGCAAGGGAGTAAAGGCAGCAAAATGCCATCCCTGATATTATGCTGCTTGGGGAGAAAATGTGCCTATAATGTTAAAATAACTCCTGTGCTGCCTGTCCTGGCCCAGCTCTCTCCACTAAGTTGAAAAAACTCAGCTAAGCCTCAAGTTCAAAGTCCTATGTGGGGCTCACAGCAATCAGCCAGCCCTGATCTTCCTTTCCCACGTCACTTGTGTCTCAGGCTGAATGACAAGGACAGATCTCTTTGCTCCCCCAGACCCTCCTTGCAGCTCCTGTGTCCATGAGGGAGAGCACAGGGCTTTGCTCCAGCAACAGGTCTCTTCTGCACGAGCATGAAAACACAGGCAGAGCAAGAGCTCTCCTTGCACCGCCTGTCCCTCATTTTTTTTGCTTTTTTGGCCACAAAGCTGTTTTTCCTGCCCAGAGGACATTTTCCTCTTGTTGGATGGGCCCCTAGATTAGTTTGTCCATGCCCTCTGCTCCCTGCCTGGCTTAGCTCCTGGGGAAAATGCCAGCCCACATGTGGTTCCTGGGGGAGAGCTGACCTGCAGCATCCTCCATGGGACAAGTCCTGCTTCCAGGGTGGAAACATCTCCACCTCCCTGGGAATTCCAGCCCCAGGCATGGCCGTGCATCTCCCCACAGCCAGCCTGGCAAGCCCAGGGAGTCTCAGCCCCATGGGCTCAGCTCAACAAGAAAGAGCCAAGTGGCTTCTGGCTCTCCTTTAGATCCAGGGGCTGTGGCACAGAGGGCCTGGTTCCCTGGAAGTGCAGCAGCTGAGCCGAGATGCCCTGGGCTTCGGCACAGGATTAACTCTCTGATCACAGCACGGCATCTCCTGCCAGCAGGAAGGCCCAGGCTAGGGAATATTTTACCAAAATAATGTCCTTGCAATAGAGAACCCCTCCAGCAACAAGAGCAGAGCCCCAGGAAACAACACAGTGAATGAACGAGGAGTTATTAGGAACAGAATCCAGATAAAATACTTGGGAATGCAATCCTGATACAGCCTCAGTGATTGTAAAGTGCCCAGAGCAGCAGAGAAACCTCCCCTCTCATTAGATCTGCTTCGAGCCCACTCACTCCAGCCTAATAACTCCAACTGGCTTCGGGGGAAATTAAATTTACAAACGAAAAAGTCCTTTTCCTTCTCAGTGCCTCGCTGCGATTGATTCCAGCTGTCGGGCTGGCGGTGCCTCGCACGCAGCAGCGCCATTCCTGCTTCCATTGGGATGGGCTCTGCATTCACAGAGCCATCACAGCACCCTGCTGATTAAAAAGTTACGTACCAGTTGCTTAGATAATGTAAAATTAAATTTTCCTGCTGCAATCAGCCAGTGCATTGTGCCTGCAGCACTCTGAAAAGCGCTGCTCTTGAATATTTCATGTTCAGAATATCTAAGAGCGTTGAGCTTTACGATATAATAAAATGTCTTAAATGATCACCTACTATGAACAAGTGCGGTGATTTATGCAAAAATTGTCACTAATGCTTGCAAATTTCACTTGCTGAAGAAGCAAAGTATCTTTTGCTTTACAAACATTTTAGTTTATATGTGATTTCTTAGTTTAGTTGCAGAAGTTTTTCCATTATTTTGGAATTAGCTGTTCACAGTTTGTCCTGCTGACCATGTTAAATAACACCGAGAGGAATTCCCTCCCTGATGTAGGACCTGTCTGCCTCAAATGTCACACTGAGGATTATTTGATTATTTATTATCAGAGTCCAGCTCTGCCCATGTGTGACCAGGACGGGGTGGGTGCAGAGCAGCTGCAAGTGCCAGTTTGGGTACAAAGGAGGGCAAAACAGAGCAGCTTTCACTGCACCAAAACCATCACAAACTCTGAACTCAGCGTCACATCCTCGTGAGACATTTGGGAGTACCTCTGACACAGAGAATCTGGGAATGCTTTGGGTTGGAAGGGACCTTAAAGCCCATCCAGTGCCATCATCCCATCAAACCTCATCCAGCCTGGCTTTAGGCACTTCCAGGAACGGGGCAGCCACAGCTGCTCTGGGCAACCTGTGCCAGGGCCTCCCCACCCTCACAGGGAAGAATTTCTTGGAACCCTTGTCCTGTCACTCCAGCTCCTGATGAACTGATCCGACATTAACCCCCAAAATCAGCTGTAAAGAGTTAACCCACAGCCTGCTGTGAAGCACTTACCTTTCACCTTCTCCTTAAGAAAGAATCCATCCTAAAAACCGATTTTCCACCCTCTGTTAGACATTGCCTTGCAGTTTATCCCGAATATCTGATAGTCAATCCTGGGAATCTCCCTGTGCAGCAGAGTCTCCCCAGCCTGCCTTGTGCATGGCAGCACCGAGGGCTCTCAGTGTGATCCAGTGTGAAGAAAGTGCTGCAGGATGCTGTGGGTCAGCAAACACAAACCACTCACCTCCCCACGGTTGTTCCGGGGCTTCCCATCCCTCCGGCTCTCAGGGCAGTTGGTGCAGCTGTGGACAGCGCCTGCTTCCCTCTCCTCTCACAGCACTTCTGGTTTCGCCTGGGTTTGTTGAACCATTCTGGTTTATTCCCCTGGGTTGAAAATCCATCAGTGTGAATCCTTCCTCTGCTTCCTTGTTCTCTGTCACACTCTTTTGGAGAACGTGTGTCGGGTTTTCTTTCCTTCCTCCCTTCTCCTCTGGGTGTTGTGTTCTGCTGTCTGCTCGTGCCACATCTACAACCACCCAAACCCTCCGGCTCCCTGAAACAATCCTCCCAGTCCCTATCATTTCTCTGTGTAACTGCAGAGTTTGAGGCAAGAGACATTCAGGTTCTCCTCCTGATTTCTCTGGGAGCATGGAAAAGTATGGGGAGGAAAAAAGCTAGGAGGCAGACATGGAAAAATCTGGATGTACCCGGCTGTGTGCAGGTCTAAGGGCAAGCTCAGAAATCTGCTGTGCGTGCCTGCAGCTCCTCGAGCAGCACAAACCTCACCTGTGTCCCTGAATTCCTCTGTGCACAGGAACGAGGTGATTTTCTCTCTGCAGGTGGAAGGGAAATGGCTTAAGGTCTTCAATTACACAATTTCTGTGGTCAGGAAGGGCCCGGGGCTGCAGAGGTTGCGGTCGCTGCTGTACCTGCTCTAATCCATCCTTCCTCCAGTGACCACTTCCCCCTCGGCTGGGCAGCAGCTGCCTGGGGCTGGGTTGTGCTGGCAAGCGGGGACAGCTGCCGAGGGACACCAGGAACAACCGGGGAGAGGCAAATTCGCCCCAAACCCCAGAGGAATTGGCCACATTGTGGTTGGATGTAGGCCATACGGGCTGTAGTGGGGAGCCTTGGAAGTGAAGGAATACCTGGAGGTCCTTTTTGTCCCGAAGCTGAGGAAAGTGACCTTTAGCTCTTGGATGTTCCTTACCTGGCTCTGCCACCCCCAGAGCAACCCCACAGCCCCATCCCAGCACCAGCAACTCGCTTTTCCGGCTGGGAACTCAACTTTCCCTCCCAGTTGCCTCATTCGGTGGAATCACGAGCAGTTACATCCCGTCCTCTCCAAAATCCTGCTTTGCCTCCTTCCCCCTGGCCACCGTTTGCGGCTCGGGGCTCAGCGATGCTCGGCTGCCCTCTCCAGGGAAACCCGGGCAGCGGCCGGGGAAAGCTTGAGAAAGAGGCAGAACTGGGAACTCAGCGCTTCCCCCTGGCCCCCGGCTGGGGAAAAGGGGTTCCTTGGCTCTGCAGGGACCTGCCTGACCCTTTCGAGGTCTGAAAACCACAATAAGGATGAGAGGCATCACGGGCTGTGCTGTAAGCACAGGAGATGATGGGCTGTCAGCTGTCTCAAAAAAATAATTCTTCCATTCCCGTTCCCAGGAACTGAGAAATTTGCAGGAACAGGTATGAGACTGTAAAGAGCAGGTGAGAATCAGAAAAGTTCTTTATACTGGTCCTGAGTTCCAACAGCAGCACCCAGCCCCAAAATATTCCGTGCTCTGACTCAGCTTCACACCCAGTAGCATCCTGTGAAATACGGATCTAAGTTTCCTCTGTCTGCAGAGGGAACTGTTGTGTCACAGTTAGTGTGTGTTATAGAAAAGAAATCTTATTATTGCAGCATGATTAGAAGCTTTTATTTTGACTCTGATTTATAGCAAAAATTCTCCTGCCAGACTAAAGGACAACCATTACAGCCGATTCCTGTAATGTAAAGGCTTTTTGGTCATCTTGGATTTTTACCCCTGGCATCAGCTGCTGTTAATCCAGCCTGGAATAACCCTGCTTTGGGAACACCCCCATACCCAGGGTGGAAGAAACGCTGTGCAGGCACTGGGGAAAGGGACTGTGAGCCTGGTGTTGCTCAGCAGTGGTGTCTCTGTCTCCAGAGCAGAGTGAAGAGCTCTGGGCTGTGCTGGGACACAGAGCATGTGATGGGACACTCAGACACGCAGGAAAAGTGTCTGTGCTCTGTGGGAACTCAGGGATTTGCTCCTTTCTCTGACTGTTGTGTTTGCTGGGGCTGAATTTGAAAACTGGGTGGTGCAGACGGGACTGAGGATGGGGGCACTGCTCACCTTGATAAGGTGTGACTCAGAGAGAGCCCATGAGTGACTCTACTGCACCCTTAGAGAAAATGCTCAGAAAAACCCCCAGATTTATTGCTGTGTCTAGCACAGCTCCTGAGAGCAAACAGGGCTTGTCCCAGAGCCTCTCCTGTGCCCTGGCCTGCTGCAGAAACCTCTGCTGCTCTTGTGGAGGGAGGAGGGTTCAGGTAAAAATGGTTTCCCTGCTGCCAGGATGTGAACGAGGGACATTGATTTAAATGGGCTGAAGGTTCCTGCAGGGTTCTGTGACTCAGAGCCGCTGTGGGTTCCAAAGGGGAGCTGTTGAGGCAGAAAACAGGGAGTGACTCGGGAGTGGTGCCTGCATGTGTTTGTTTTCCAGAGTGGGGCTGTCAGCTGTGACAAAGCTGCTTCAGCACAAGCTCTTTAAACCCCCAGGCTCAGGGTTTGGATAACTGATCTGTCGGTGTCGGGAGTGTTTTTACTCCTAGTGCTGTGCACACCCCCACACACCAGTGCACAATGCAGTGGTGGATGCGATCTCACACTCACGAGCTCCAACAGTGCAGAGGAGGGAACTCGTGTTCTGGAGCTGATGTAACTCAGGTGCTGCTGGGCACCAACTTAATTCATGTCTAAAGCTTATATCAATATGCTTATAAGGAGATTTGAACAATTAAAGTGTGTAGTTTTGTGGGTTATTGAGCCTCTTCTCTATTTACCCTGCAGAGGTTCAAATGTCTGCTTAATTCCTGTAGCTCACTGCTGTGAATATCCCAAGCTTTATTTGATGAACACCAGGCAGAATAAAAGATATTCTAAACATTACTGTGTACCCAGTGCTTTCATGCAGTTTTAAAGAAAACATAAGCTCACACGTTTCCCTCATGAGGAAACTTAGATTAACAATCTGGTTAATGTTTGGCTCAGGTGGAAACGTCCAACGAGTTTCAAGTGTGTCATGAGGCTCTTGGAGCTACAAAAAGTAAACATCTTGGGTTTACTGAAAGTCACCCACGGCCGGAAACTCGTCACTGTGAAATAAAACTGGGGCAATGGTTCACTATTGATTTAACAAATGAGTCATCCGTGCTGCAGACTTCCTGCAGCATCCACGCTGAGCAGCTCCACAGAAACACCCGGGCAGGAGCATGTGTGCGGTGAGATCCGTCTCAGCCACAGCTGGAAGCATCTTAATTTGGGGCTAATGAAGCTCTGGAGGCTTTGTCTTCACTGGGACTTGCTGTTTGTGGCAGTGCCAGCACAGATGGAGCTGCTTCCCTGGGCTGGATTAATGTTTGCTGTGAGAGTGAGTGGAGGTACTGAGTGAAAAATAAAGGTGGCTGGGGAAATCTCTGAGGTGCTGTCACCGTGGCAGCAGAAGCGTGGTGAGGAGCTGAGGAGGATTTGGGTAATGCAGCTCCCTGGGAACATGAGGAAAGCTGGGATTTGTTGCAGTCAGAGGAAGTGGAATAATCCAGACAGAGCAGACACTGGCACAGCAGAACCCCCTGCCCGTGCTGAGTACAGGTTCTGAGAGGGTGCAGTGGAGCTGAGGTCACCGAGGCTGTGTCACCACGAGCAGGGTGGGTTTGGAAGCACTGCCCTGTTCCAGCAGTGTCTGTGGGCTCTGCCTCTGGAACTGGGTCTGTAACCTGGAGGGCCGCAGGGCATGAAGGGTGGGCACAGCATGATCCTGGAGGCACCTAAAATATCCCAGTCTGCCCATGAGTAACTGAGGTCAATGCAGTGTCACATGCTTATGAGTCACAAATGTTACATTGAGAGCTTTGAAAAGGAAGAGGGTTTAAAAATCATGATTTGAAGGAATGAAGTAGCTCCTGTTGAGGGAATCTCGGGTGGTGATGATAAAAGATTGAGACAGAACCTCAGGATTCAGTCTGTGCTGTGTCTTCAGGACGTGGCAGGAACTCCAAGGCCTCTGTCTACGTTGGGGTTAGCACAGCTCTGGGAACATCTCCTTTCCTTCCACTGCAGGAGAGGAAACCAGCCCAGGGCTCTAAAGCTGGACAGTGAAACACAGAACTTTGCAAGCTGGACTTTGTGGTGTTTGGGGTATTTGTCCCGTTGATTTTAAAAATACCCTGGTGATCCTGCTCGGCCTCCGAATGACTCAGTTTGTTTCAGTGGAGCAGTTCCTGCACAAATACAGGAATGGCTTATCACTGACATTTCCTGCTCCCCCAGGCTGAATGTGTCAGCCTGACCCCAAAACCAGCTCTGAAAGACAAGATGTTTCTTTAATTATCTCAGAGATAGCAGGGACAAACAGCCAGACCTTGTGTCATTCTTGATCCGAGTTGAAAAGTACACGCTGTTGTGTTCCCCAGACAAGAGAGCAGAACATTTGCACGCTGCAAAATGCTCTTTCTTAATGCCACTGACATGTCCTGGCTGGAAAACATCCACACTCTGGGGTGAGATTGTGTTTGAGCAGAAACAAACACACTAGAGATAGAAACAAATCAAAAATCTGCTGATGTGCATTGTAGGAGAGTTGTTTATTAATGAGTGGAATTTCAAGGCTTACAGCAGATATTGTTCTCTTCCATCTAAAGACAAAAAAAAAAAACTGCTATAAGGACCTCAGCCATAATGTTGTGCCAAGAAATCCAAAGCAAAGGGAGGAAAACAAATTAATTTCAGCTTGCTTTGTGCAAACATACAATAAAGAATAGGGACAAAGGTCTGGGCTTGGGTATGTCAACACATCTTGTATATTAAAATATATGCTGTTTTTTTTAATGACTTCACAATGAATACAAACTTCATTTTAGAGTCTTTACCTTGTTGTGGGTTGGGTCACAGCCCAGTAACACCAGGTCAGTAAGAAAACAGTTTTGTTTTACGGATAAAGCAGAAATGCATAATTTTCCCCTTCTGTAGCAAAAAAATGCAGGGTAACTCAATGAACCCAGGGTCTTTACCTCAAAATAAAAACTCTGAATGTTCATGCGTTGTTTTTAAGTACTGCTCTGACTTGGTGGGGTTGGAACCGAGCTAGTTGTTTTCTGTTTTCTTTGAAACTTCCTTTTTTTGGTCTTTAATGTGGTGTACAGTGCTCGACTTGCCCCGCAGTAGTGGGCAGGGAACACTCTTATATTTGCAAATTTCTTATGTATAACTAATTTTCTTTCATCCTACACATGGTAAAGGCCAAATCTTGTGAGTTTTTTCTTCAAAATGATCCTTTGAGGCAAAATAAGAAAATGTGAATATAAACACAAACTGCAGCCAGTGCCAGGGGCTGTGCATACCCACAGTGCTGGTTTAAACCTGGGCAAGCTTTTCCCTGTATTTTGACCTGAAACATCCCACTACGTTGTTTTCAATACTTTAAATTTAAACATTAAATAGTTTAACTAAAGGCAGGCATGGGGAATGGGCTCAACAAACCCGAGACCCTTCATTTGACATCAGAGCTTTGCGGGGATCTCTGAGGGGGCTGAATTTTACTCTTTGTTCGCT